ACACACCAGGAACCTGGAAACTTACTAAATTACAAAAAAATTTTTAAAAAACAAACATGTTTCATTGATATATATACAAAAATGAATATGAGGATCTATATTTATCAAACATTACACCGGGCAAGTAAAAATTGTTTCTGGGCAAATGAAATGTAAAAGTCACTTGCCCAAAGGGCAAATGGTAAAAATCCTTAACGTCAACCCCTGCTTTAGTTTTGTTTCATTTCTTATCAAAGGTTTTCTGATTCTTCATGAAAAAAAAAAAAAAGCAGCTAAATAGTTTTAAGCCCAATCATGAACTTTTAATCTCCATTTTTTGACAGGTGTCCTTGGTGAAGATGTGATCAAAAAGATGTTTTGCATTACAAAATAAAATAAAGTTTTGTTTTTTATGGATCAGAATGGAAGCAACAGAAGTCGGTTTAAGGAAAAACTTTAAATCCAATAAAAGTTTGCTTTTTTTCCCCCACCAACAGAGAATCCACACTGGGCCGATGAACAGAAAACACATCCTTACTGTTTAATTGGCCTCTTCTTCCCAGTCTGTTAGACACATTTAAACAGGAAGCAATGAGCTCCATTTTTCTTCATTTAAAAATCTTGGACCGGAGCTTAAAGTGCTGCTTAAACAGGCCGATACTTTTTAATTGTACCAGCAGTCAGACTGAAGGGCAATGACCCGACTCCTGAGACCCCGTCATCAATCTGGGAGGAAAAAGTTCAGGAAACAAGCTTTTCTTCTCCACATTCAGCTGCTCAGCAGGTTTATGAAAAAGAAATGTTTCAATTATTCCTTTCTTTTAACAAGCGAAGATTCTGCAAAGCAGGTAAAACCTAAGCTTCAGAAAAATAGATGATCTTATTGAACATCTGGCTGCATACGGCTAAAAAAAAACTACAGTAAGATTTATCTACAAATGATGGGAGGGAGGAACAAACCAATACTTTGGCACAGGATAACAGATCTTTGATAAGCATCAAAGAGTAAGAAAAACTTTCATGTAGTTCATCCAAACATTCATGGTTACATCAGGGACAGAAGAGCAAATCAAACTAGAACATTTCGGAGGAACATGAAAGGCCAGCGAGAAAACCTTAAACAACGGATTAAAAATGGGTCAAGAAGTAAAACTCTACATGGAGGCAGCCATGATGGAGTAAGATAAATTTGTCCATCTACCGGTCTCCATGGTGATCATCTCCCTCCTCCTCCATTTTCCCAATGTCAATTTTGGTTAATGCGAAAAGTACTCATTAAGAGGAGATGCTGTAGGATGTATGAAGGCAGCCATGTTGGATTAAGGAAAACCCTTTTTTAAATAGAAGTTTTCTGACTTTAAGGACAATATGGTCTGATAAAGAGTACATTTATAGGCCAGAATGACTTGAAATTTAAATATAACTTCCCTACGAGAACACAGCACTGGCTGCCCCTCTCCCACCTGTTACTGCAAACCACTTTTATACTTTTCTACACTTAAAACAAAGTATAAATCCAGCTGTTTGGAAATACAGTATCTCATTTAATCAGTCATGGGATTAAAACTACAGGAACATATAAGCGAAGCTTCCAAGGTGCCTGGACAGATTAATTTTTTTGGATTTTATTACACATATTTTGTTATGTTTAATTCAAGAATAATCTTTGTCCGTGTTTGTTTGTTTGTATAAAATTTTAAAAGACCTTGAGAAAGGTTTTTTTTTTCTTTTCTTCAAGCTTTTCTTTTCACCCAAACAGAGGAAACTGATACACTTTGGTGTTTTCTATATTATTGACTTCAAATAAACAAAAAGAAAGAAAAGAAAAACATCATTCTGAATGCCCTGCTACTTCAAGCTGGTCTTTATTTTGATGGTTTTTTTTTATTCCTCGGTGCTAAAATCTCACCAACAAATCTACTGTTTTCCCTTCAAGCTGTTCTGCTTTTGTTGTTAACTGCATACGTTTCCATATTTCCATAAAAAACAAGCTTATCAAAGATTCTTTTCAATTTGTAGGAAGGACAAACACTGATAAGAATCAGTTCTGCTACTAATTACTCTCCTATTTCAGAGAAAAACACAACAACATGAATATCATGATAAGGTTTGTAATATTTCATGGAAATAATCAACATTTTTTACCGTTATTTATGGACATAAAACTAAAATTTCTGAAAATTTGAAGAATATTTTCAAGAACAGTTTATTTCCCTGTAAGATGGGGAAATATAGCTCTTATCAACAAGGTGATTTTACTTTATAAGGATCAGAATGAGAACATAGAAATTAGAATGATAAAGAGAAGATACGGTTTAAAATCCTGACTAATCATCAGCTTTAGAAGAAAATCATCATAAAATGTGTGGGCACATTTTTACCCATCAGAAGGAAATGTAGTTTAAGACTTAAGAAAAAAGATTACTATTATAGAAGACAATAAAAGGAGAAGTGGATCTCCTTTAATCTACAGTGTAAACGCTCAGAGCAGCAGCTGGGCTCCAGTCTCACCGCTGACCCTCCCTGTGGCTCGCCACCACCTGCTAATCACGGTGTAGAAAGCGACAAAGAGGCGGTGGTGTGGTTAAAATGATATGTTCAGAAGGCGAACCTCAGCCTGTCCTGTAGAGACGCTTATTTTACTTCAGTTTGAAATCAGGAGAGAGACGCAGCCCTGGTAGGGAGACCCTGCCAACAGCCTAACGTCTCATCAAACCGCACTGATGGAGGTGACAGGGGCGGCCGTATCTTTCACACATAAACCTCTAAAGAAAAAAAAAATACTTTTGAGGAGTTTGTTTTTTTGGTACTAGACTTCATTTTATTTTATTTTTTTAAAGATATTTTAATGTGCTTCGTTTCAAAAAGGGAATTTAGAAGAAAATCGGAAACTATGCAACCGCCTAATGACATAACTGCTTATAAATCACTTTAACCAAATAAAATCTAACAGTAAGGTCAGGTCAAATTTTTTTTTTTATGTTATTTATTATTATGATTGTCGGGCACTGCTTAGAATTTTCCCAAGCAAAAAAAATTTTACTTTCCGGCTTGAAATGCAGGGAAAGGAATGTTAGAAGGAGAAGATGGACAGATAGATGCAATAAGACTCTAAACTCTCCCTTTTCCTTTGGCCCTTAGACTTAGACAGTTTATATTGTCACTTTGTATACTCGGAGTGTATACAACAAGACATTTTGTTTAGTACGGCTTTCAGACAGTAAATGAAGATTTCCATTCCTTAAAGTGCAGCAGTGATCTACGGAAGAGGATTAGGGCCACTGAAAAAAAAAAAAAAAGTTAACTGATTTTAAATTTTATTTCAGTTTAGTATGGGAAAAAAGAAGGAATTCTGACTTTAATCTCAGAACTCTGACAGCTAACAAACATGTTAGCATCAAGCCATAGCCATGTCTTTTTTAGAGACTAGCTCTCTTGTTTTAATGACCTTCTGCTCCTTTATTAATGAGGGGACCCCTCGGGCACGTAAAAAGTTGCCTAATTCTGTCATTTTCCACCAAGGTGTCACTGGCCACCTCAAACA